AAAAAAATTGAAAACAAAATCGATACTTTAGTTCTCCATCGATACTGCGCAAAACAAAAGCGAGGAAAAAATATGATCCTGCAATGCAGCGAACGTGAAGAGGGACTAGTGCTGTCTTCGCTCTTTCTCTGCTTTAGACCATGTGTTTTGATAGTTGCCGCTTTTGTGTCTGTTTGCCGGCTCTTGATCATCTGCGCTAAACTTCAATCAAAACTTGCGAAAATGGACGCCGATCTGTATGATGAGTTTGGCAACTACATTGGACCAGAATTGGACTCTGAAGAAGAGGAGGATGACGATTTTGAGCAGTACAATGCGCCGAACGACGATGACGAGGATGAGGGCGTTCAGAACAATGTGAGTCCATTACAATTTAGTTAATTGCCTGTTTACTGAATTACTTTTTTGCAGGAGTTGATGGTTCTGGACGAAAAAGATGACGAAGAACAGATGCAGGTGGTTTTGCATGAGGATAAGAAGTACTATCCAACGGCGGAGGAGATTTATGGACCTGATGTAGAGGCACTGGTTCAAGAAGAAGATACACAGCCGTTGACACAACCGATTATTGAGCCGATCAAGCTTAAAAAGTTTTCTCATCACGTCAATGAGTTGCCGCTGACAAACTATGATTTAGAGTAAGTGCTCATTGAATCTACAATCATCGGGCAGTTCTTTCATTCAATGTTACTACTTTGCAGGTTCATGACAGACTTGATGGACAACGCCAACTTGATTCGCAATGTCGCCTTAATCGGACATCTTCATCACGGAAAGACTTCATTTGTTGACTGCATCATTGAGCAAACGCATCCTGAACTTTCACGAAAGGAAGACAAACCGGTATGATTTGTTGTATTATTTGTTGTCATCACTTGTTTGATCCATTTGTGTTCTCTCAGTTTCGCTACACAGACACTCTCTACACCGAACAAGAGCGCGGTGTTAGTATCAAATCTGCCCCTATCACTGTCGTGATGCAGGATCTTAAATCCAAGTCGTATCTGATGAACTTTTACGACACCCCTGGCCATGTGAACTTCTCCGATGAAGTTAGCGCAGCCATTCGTCTCTGTGACGGTGCCATCTTGTTTGTTGATGCGGCCGAAGGTGTCATGCTAAACACTGAGCGACTGCTGAAGCATGCACTTCAAAATGGACTTACCATTGCAGTTTGCATCAATAAAATTGACCGACTCTTACTGGAGCTAAAACTGCCTCCTCAAGATGCGTACTACAAAATTCGGCAAATATTGGATGAAATCAACGGCATTATCAAGTAAGAAGGATGGAATGCAAAAGAAAGCTGTTTTTCTCATTTTTACTTTTTCTTTTTTAGAGCCCACACTCACATTGGAGAACCGCAGTTGATTTCTCCTCTACTTAACAACGTTTGCTTTGCAAGCTCCCTCTTTAGCGTTTGCTTCACTTTGAAATCATTTGCCCAGCACTACTCTGAGTACTACGGAGGAGGCTTCAATCCAACTGATTTGGCCAGTCGCCTCTGGGGCGATATCTATTTCAATAAAGCCAAGTAAGTTCTATACATTTGCCTGTAAGATTTCCTTTGCTAATGCTTTCATTTTAGCCGCAAGTTTGTGCGCAAATCGCCTGGCAGCGGTACCAAGCGCAGCTTCATTGAGTTCATCCTGGAGCCCATCTACAAACTGTTTGCTCAGGTGGTTGGAGATGCCGACGAGACACTGGAGTCAGTTCTGGACGAACTTGGCATCAAGGTGACGAAGAAGGAGATGAAAATGAACATTCGCTCGCTGCTGAAGCTAGTGTGCTCTCGCTTTCTAGGCGACTTTAACTGTCTCATTGACATGTGCGTCAACGTGATACCGTCGCCGCTGGAGAATGCCAAGAAAAAGGTGCAGCACATTTGGCGTGGGTCGGTCGACTCGCCCCTGGGACAGGCGATGGTCACCTGTGACCCGGAGGGCCCGCTGATGGTGCACACCACCAAGCTGTACTCCTCACAGGACGGCACCAGTTTCAATGTTTTTGGACTGGTGCTTAGCGGAACACTGCATGCAAAGCAGACGGTTAAGATTCTGGGCGAGAACTACTCTTCACTTGATGAGGAGGACTCGAGAATCATGCCGGTGGGAAAGCTGTGGATCTACGAGGGGCGATACTCAATTGAAGTGAACCGTATTCCAGCTGGAAACTGGGTCCTCATTGAGGGCATCGATCAGCCCATATCAAAGACGTCTACCATTGTCAGTCCTCAGTGCGATGAGGAGCTCTTCATCTTCAGTCCGCTAAAATTCAACACTGAGTCGGTCATCAAGATTGCCGTAGAGCCGGTGAACCCGTCAGAGTTGCCGAAGATGTTGGAAGGCCTGCGAAAGTGCAACAAATCGTACCCGCTATTGGCCACCAAAGTGGAAGAGTCGGGTGAGCACATCATTCTGGGCACTGGGGAGCTGTACCTCGACTGTGTGATGCACGACTTAAGGAAGATGTATTCGGAAATTGGTAAATTCTGTCATTTTAATTTTATATGGGGTTTTTTTATTTATTGTTTCTACTTTGCAGACATCAAGGTAGCGGATCCAGTGGTTTCCTTCTGCGAGACTGTCGTGGAGACGTCTCAAATTAAGTGCTTTGCTGAGACTGCCAACAAAAAGTGGGTTCTGATGTTTTATGCAAAAGAATTTTTTGTAATGATTTTATTTTTTTTCAGGAACAAAATCACCATGATTGCCGAACCACTTGAGAAGGGCCTGGCTGAGGACATTGAAAATGAGGTTGTGCAGATCAACTGGAACCGCAAGAAGTTGGGCGAGTTTTTCCAGACCAAGTACGACTGGGACATTCTCGCGGCTCGGTCAATCTGGGCCTTTGGTCCCACTCAAACCGGCCCCAACGTTCTGGTGGACGATACTCTGCCCTCAGAGGTGAACAAGAGTCTGCTCAACTCGGTGCGCGACTCGGTAGTGCAGGGCTTCCAGTGGGCCTCACGCGAGGGACCACTCTGTGAGGAGCCAATTCGAAATGTCAAGTTCAAGATTCTCGACGCGGCCATCAGCCAGGAGCCGGCGGCTCGCGGCGGCGGCCAGATTATCCCTACGGCCCGTCGTGTCGCCTACTCCGCCTTCCTCATGGCCACCCCGCGACTGATGGAGCCGTACAACTTTGTGGAGGTGCTCGCGCCGGCCGACTGCGTCCCCTCGGTGTACACGGTGCTGGCGAAGCGTCGTGGGCACATCACCCAGGACGTTCCAGTGCCCGGCTCGCCGCTGTACACCGTCAAGGCCTTCATTCCCGCCATTGACTCATTTGGCTTTGAGACCGATCTGCGCACTCACACCCAGGGACAGGCCTTCTGCTTGTCGGTCTTTCACCACTGGCAGGTAACCTGATGATGACACCAGATGTTTTTAGTTGCGCGCAGAACTGTAGCTATTTTTTGTTTTTTTCTGTAGATTGTGCCCGGCGACCCACTGGACAAGTCCATTGTCATTCGCCCACTGGAGCCACAGCCGGCGCCTCATTTGGCGCGTGAGTTTATGATCAAGACGCGGCGTAGGAAGGGCCTGAGCGAGGACGTCAGCATCAACAAGTTCTTTGACGATCCTATGCTGCTGGAGTTGGCCCGGCAGGAGGCGTTGAACATCTAAACACTATTTGGTAATTCTTTCCCCCTTTTTGCATTATTCGAAACCTCAAGTTCATTTCATGTTCATTTTTGTCAGCACAGGTATTCCATATGATTACATGAACACACTTTTTTATTATAGTAAGTGACATTTCCTCTTCTTTTTTTGTGCTGTACAAATAATCATCATCATATGAATCATGAATTATTATGAAATTGTAGTAAAAATAAGTGGACCACACACACCTCAAACATAGGTGATCTCCTTTTCCTCAAAGTCAAACTTGCTCTTTACCAGGTAAGTCACCAGATTGCCCTTTCCTTTCACCTGAATCGGCCCTCGTTGCTCCAGAGTGAACTCGTGGTAGTGGTCAGTCTGTGCTAGTATTTGTGCTGTTTCGCAGGTCATTTGAATGCGTCCAATGACGCCAGTGGACTCCATGCGACTGGCCACATTGACGGTGTCGCCCTGTTAAAGCAGATTTTTTACATTACATCAAACTGAAATCAGTATAATTCAGTGCAAAAGTTACCCAAATGTCGTACTGAGGCTTGCTCGCGCCGACAATGCCGGCAATGACTGGGCCGACTGCGATGCCAATTCGCAGCTTAAAGTCCTGCAGTGCGTCCTTGTTGACCGTTTTCAGTGTTTCCATCAACTTGATGGAGAAGCGAAGTATGGAGAGCACATGACTGCGTTCGTCTTCAAATGAGGTGGTGCTCTGCAACGTATTCAATGATTGTTATTAGAATCAGATGAAGATTAACAGATCATCGCTAAAAATGATTACCCCATTTGATCCTCTGCCAGGCTGAAGGCCAGCCGCGGCCATGTACGTGCTGCCAATCGTCTTGATCTTTTCAATTCGAAGAAAGCGAACGTCAGACAAGTGCTGCAAAGAAAAGAAATTGTGGTCAATGAAGGAAACAGTACACTAAAATGAGTACCTGATCAAAGTCGCAGATGATCTCATTGAGTAGCTGCAGGCACTTGATGCCATTGTCGTTGAACTCATTCTCCGAGTAGAACTCTGAGTAGTTGGGAATGGAGGCGAACATGACGGCGCAAAACTCGTACGACTCCGAGTAGAAGTCATCGGAGATGAGGCTGTTGTTGAGGAACTTCTGCGCCACGTAGGCGGGCAAAATGTTCTTGAGGAGAATCTCATTGATCTCGCCCATGACGCGTGACTCCTGGTCTTCGTCCTCGAGGCGCTTCGACAGCTTAAAGTCCAGTCGGAAGATGTACTCTACCTGGCGGTCGATGATGCAGAGGATGCTGACCACCATGAAGACGTAGTAGAAGTGACTGAAGGTCGGGTCGAAGCCAATGTTGGACACCCACTGGTCGCCGGTGCTGGAGTGGGGAATCAGCTTCTGGTAGAGGGAGCACTCGTTCAGTAGCAGCACGCAGAAGCTGATCAGCCCCACAAAGTGGAGCACCGTCTTCAGCCAGAGGTTGATTCGGATGAACACACTGACGCCCGTCATGGCGAGAATCACACAGTTCGTGTAGCTCTGGTGGGGAGGCAAAGACGGGGTATGTCAACACACGGGGGTTATCTCTTATCAGATGTGCCCAATGTGAGCACAGTGACACGGAACACACAGGCAGACACTCACCCACAGGTACGGGCCCTCTGGCCAGCTGGTGAGCGTGCTCTCGCTGCCTCCCGTGACAGTGCTCTCATTCGTGACCAGCGGCAGTTGCTGCTCACCGGATGGGAACTCGTCGCAGTCGTACTGCGTAGGGGTGAAACAATTGTAGAACTTTGAAAAACAACCAGTTCCTTTCCAGTACTTACCAGAATGATGTCGTGCAGGGAGCAAACAAAGAGCGCCGCGGAAACGCCGAACCAGATAAGATTGCGCTTGATGAAGGAGAGCTTCAGAAAATTAAAAAAGGAACGGTTGCAGGTTAGTTTCAGGTGGGTGCTGTTAATTTCAGGAGTGTAACAGTAATTACATTGCTGGACAGTTTGCTGTAGCTGTAGTAGATGCACACCACAATGAGGCCAATGGAGGTGGCGAAGATGACCAGTGTGGCGATGAGCGAGTCCACCTTGGGCACGATGGCGCCCTTCACCAGGCCAATGACCACGCAGAGGACCAGTGAGAAGGAGAGGTAGAAGATGAAGAAGTCATCGCTCAGCGTGAGGAACTCCTTCTCCAGGGTAAGCGAGCTCTCTTCGCCACTCTGAGCAGCCCCGCTTTCTCCCTTTGCCCCTTTGTTGCTGATGTCCTTCTCCGAGCCACTGCTGCTGCTGCTGCTGCTCAGGTCATCATTGCTTGAAGAGGCCGTTGATGACTTGACCCTCTTTTTGGGCGGCGACTTGAAGGTGAGAAAGAGCGGATGAATGCCGTGCAGGCTCTTGAAGACGCTGCTCTTGAAGCTGAGCGGCATCTGCTCCACCTCCTGGTCGATGAAGGTCTTCTCCTTGCTGCGGTCGACCTCCTTCTTGATGACGCTGTTCTCCTGAAATAGATTCAGGTTCTGCAGGCGAATCGTCGAGAAGGAGGATCGTCTCTAAACGAATGGGAATGGGTTATATTTTTAGAACATTAGTTACACAGTTCTGACAGGGGCTGGCCACCCTTCTGCTCTGCTGTGAATCCACTTACTCGCAGTTTGTTGACATTCTCCCTTAGTCGTTCCGCCTGTATGCGATTGTTAATGGTAAAGGTGTGCGCCCGCTCCAGCTGCTCCATTGAAGAGCTCTTCTTCTTTCGTGAGATGAGATAGCCGAGGCGTTCGTTGACATTTCTCTCTGTGTGTGAACAACAGTGTGAAAGTGTAAGAAAGTAGTGCTGCTACACCTTCTGTTCCTACCTTCAATAATGTACTTCTGCAGGGCAATTTCGTGCACTAGATCGAGCGTCTCCCTGGTGACGTGCACATAGCCGGGCACTCCGTCGTGCTCCATGCTGGAGGCGAGAATGCTGTCTTGTGACCAAATGTCGAATTGCCACTTGTGCACGCCGATAATACCCGAGAGGACCATGCCTGAGTGGATGCCGATGCGCATGTTGATGTTGATGGTCTTCACCTTGCGGACTTCACTGTAGAGAGGGAGAAGAAGAACATTGAACGATGATGAACCCTAATAATTGACCTTCTACTCACTTGATAATGTCAATCATGTCGAGGCCCATGCGAATGCAGTTGAGAGCGTGCTGGCTGTCATACTTGGGCAGTCCGCTGACGCAGTAGTAGCAGTCGCCAAGAAGCTTTATTCGCAGGCAGTTGTTCTTGTCTGCGCATTCGTCGAAGCTGCCGAACATATCGTTCAGCGTCTCTACCAGCTCATTGGCGCTCAGTTTAGAGGTGAGCAGCATCGAGTTGACAATGTCTGCGTACAGTATGGAGACGTTGTCATACTTCTTCACGTACAGCTTCTTGAAAGGACTCTGGATGATTTTCCCATTCTGGACGTTCTCCTCGTCGCGAATGCTGTCCTTCAGGTCCTTGCGCACGTCTTCTATGAGGTGGCGCGGAAAGCAGGAGTTGAGCAGTCGCTCCTGCTGCTCCTGCTCCTGGTAAAAGTTGAACTTGCTCTTGATGTACTTGTGGTGATTCTCGAAGGCCCGCTTAATGATGATCTCCAACAGGCGACTCATGTACATGCCGAAGAGGGCCGCGTAGAGGTAGAAGATGATGTCGGAGATGGTCAGCTTGATCAGCGCTGACAGGTGGCCCTCAGGGGCGGCGTTGTAGCGCTGTCGAAAGGAGATGACAACCTCGAGGAGGGTGACTACCGCCGTGGAGATGACGGCTGCCTTGAGTGAGGGAAAGGGCAGGAGAATGTGCGTCGCGATGATCATGTAGATGATGGGGCGGATGCGTTGTGCGAGGTAGGGGGCGTAATCGAGTTGCAGCTGCAGCAGCTCATTGCCGTACTCCACGAAGATCATCGTCATGAGGACGGTGACGGAGGCGAGAGTCCGACTGAAGCGAGGCCGCAGCAGGTGTTCGTCGATGTAGCTGATGACGAGGAACATGGAGAAGATGATGAGTGAGGTGCCGTTCAGGAAGAGGATGCCTTGCTGCTTTGAGTCGGCCTACGGACGGAAGCAATTTTTTTGTAGAGAGTAAATGAGAACAGTTTGCAACAACTTTGCAGCTTACCTTCTCCAGGAGGGCCACCACAATAACGATGCCGTTGAAAAGAATGTTCAGTATGAGCAGTGAGACGAAGAAGTTGTTCTGCAAACGCATTCGGTACTTCGGAAAAAGCTCATTCACACCGCCTCCGTGGTTACCGGCACTGACATACGATGATGCTGAGTCGGCCTCGCTCTTGGTTGAGTCTCGGTGGTGATGGTGATTTTCAGGAGAGTGGTGGTGATGGTGCTCGGCGACGAAGAAGTTGAGCGCCTCCTCTTTGAACCGTTTCCACTGCCAGCCACTGTCGGCGCCCTCGAGGTCGTGCATGTGCGACTGGCGCATTGCCTCACGAAACTGCTTCGTCAGAATCTCCGCAGTGTTCGACATGCGGGACAAGTTCTCGGTGTTGGGCATTTTTAGTTGATTCTTTTTGTTGATTCCGGATAAGTTGATAAATGATGAGTTGTGTGTAGATCACTTTGTGGTCATCTAATACTGCTCATTTCACTGAGGTTGTTCATGGTTCGGTTGAGATGTTGTGGTGATAGTTGTGCACTTTATAAAGTTTTAGTTTTCAGCGTCAATTCGACTTGAAGATGAGAAAGTAGTGACCTGACAGACATGATTTTCTGTTTTCAGCAGTGTTTTCAGCCGATCTCACTTGCCATTTGTCTGTGTCTATGTCAGTGTTGCCCTCACGCAAAGATTTGCCAATGCTCCAATCTCTGTGTGTGACTGTCGGTGGGTGATTTTACTTGCTTACTTACCTGCTCTCTTTACTTACTAAGCAATCATTGAGCACTTTGACTTTACTCTGTTTTATGACAACTGGTGCAGTGTAGTGCAGATTTTTGTTAGATCTGTCTGTCGGTGTTCCTGTTTTTTACTACCTGCAGCTACCTGCTCTACGTACGCACAGTGCCTGAGCCGTCTCAAAGACGATGCCTGATAAGAGGCAGGAGTGATGCTGAGGCAGCTGCATCACTGGTAATTGCCATCAACACCTCCACCGCCTTCTGCCGGTTGCCTTGTTTTTTGTACAACAATGATATTTGAAATGCCACACATAGTTAACCTACAGTAAACTTTGGTGCTCGAATGGCTAGAATGAATCATCTTAGTATTTGTAGTTTGCACTACTTTTTAAAAAAACCTTTTTCACAGTTTTTCAGTTGAGAAGCACTGTCAAATAAGAGCATAAGCTCATGACCATCGCACCGTTTTCTGCCCCTCTGCCATCTGTTGTTGTCGGAGTCTTTCCAGCACATTATCACCTCATCATCCAGGAGAGCTGTGTCCATGTGCTAAGTTTAAAATTAGAGAAACAGTAATTTAGGCTTTCTGGCTACTTGTTGCTTGTCTGCTAATAATAACTGTCGATCTTATCTCTGCAGTATCAACACTACTTTGCGGCTACTGCCTGTGATGCTTACGCGGAACAGTCTGATCTCTCACACCGCACTCGACAATACTGTCTACAGGATAAAACCGGCGGGCGGAGAAAGTGGCGTCACTTGATTTCTTGGTCATTAATGGTACTTTGTAAACCAGTGTTAGTCATTGGGTGATGTGTTTTGGCGCAAAATATAAACTTTTTCTTTTGTTAGTAATTAGTATGACGTTTTTACACACAATTTCAACGTTTCAAACGTTGCATTTTCTATTAGTAATCATTTGAAATATGTTTTGTGATGAAGAAAGTATTTTTGTGTCTACATTGCAGTGAGTTAAATTTATGATTAGTAACCACACAGTTGTCAGTCATGGTGACTATGACTTTGAAAATTAATTACCAATCACCTTTCGTATAAAAGCTATGATGCCGCCTTGCAGACAGTCAAGAATTTGTACTTTTTCTTGTTATCCAGACTTGTTCAAAATGCATTCTTCACACTCTTCCACCATAATTCTTGTGGTCTTTTGCTCCGCACTGGTCAGCTGTCAGTATCAGCAGCATTGCTACAACAGTGCTCAATGTTTGCCCACCTATCGTTGTTTCAATGGCGCCTGCATCTCATCAGTCGAGTGCACCCGAAACTTAGATTGCATTTCTCGCGGAATCTACTATGAATGCAACAACTCCATTTGCATTCCTTCTGACCACAAAATTTGCCGCACAGATATGGATTGTAGCAAAAATCTGTGGAACAAAAAGTGCATCGCCGATCGCTGTAAACATTCGTAGATTGACGTGTTTTTTGAAGTTTTACTAAAGTAAAATAAAAGTTTATTTCTCATTTGATAACTTTAAAATTATGTCTATTGTCGTTCTCTTTTCTAACGAGGACAAATTTCGTCCACCGGACAGGTCGCACTGCTGTAGTACTGCATATACTCCTTTAGATCACAAAAAGCGCTGCTGCATCCGGCAATCTTCACCGGCATCTCATTGTACAACGTCAACAGCTTCAGCTGGCGGCCCTTAGCATCGCACTGATGCAGCACTGCGGCAAAGTTGGCACCAAAGGGCAAGAGCATCGAGGAGCGAAACTCTCGGTTACCGGTTACGCAAAATTGTCCCGGGTTGCTCGGATCTAGGTAGTGGCTTGGCGCCCGATTGAAGAGGTTCAAATACTGCACTAGTCGATTGACCATTTCCTTGTGACTGAAATACAGCGTTGACCCTGGCACCAGTTTTCTTCCTCTTTTCAGGCGGGCATTTATAGCGTTTAGCTTGGTAGTGAGGTCCTTCATGATGGTGCAGGCAATGTCAGCGTCTGGGTACGTTAAACTTCGGTACTCGATTGTGTCACCCATGTAGCTAAGAACCTTCAGTTCGTTGGTGGTAAAGAGGGCACACCAGGGAGAGTGCTGCAGAATGGCCATCTCATAGGCGCAGGCCAGGTACACCGTAGCCATTGTGTCGAAGGTGCTATTGTCTGAATTTTTTTCACTCTGATGAGGTAGAAAACGGAGGCCATTCCTTTGGTACCACTGTTTGACCATGGTTTTAATGGGGGCACTCTGCGACAGCTCAGTGTACTCCTTTCTTTCATTGGCTTTGCGTTCCGGTGTTATGTATTTTTTGCATCGCTCGCATGACATTATTGTGTCGTCCTTTGTCGGCATGGCAAATTTCTCGTTGACTAGTCCTAGAAGGGAGAAACATTTAAATCAACAGTGAAACAGCTTTTTAAAACAGTTGCAAAACTAGTTACTTTCGACAGCTTCATTTGCCTCCTCAAACGGTAGTTTTTCTCGAAGCTGCAGTTCACTGATAGCCCGAACGAACGCTTGCGCCGTTTCTTTAGTGCGAATCTTTGAGGTGACACCTACTTCGATGTTTGAATTTTCAATGTTCAGCAGGCTGGGGAAATTCTGGTAAAAGTGACGAGCCTGGAGAGATGTGTCCAACTGTCCGGACAACGTAACATGTGCGCCCTCAGACGAACTGATAAAAAGCTGCCAGCGCTGCAAGTCAGCTTGCACGATTCTGTTAAGGCGGCCGCCTTGCAACAGTTCTCGTCTAAGGCCAGGCAGAACTTTGGTAAACTTGACGACCTCTCTGCTCATTGGATAGCGAATGGAGTGTCTACCGAGGTAGAAAAGGTAGATTGGCTTACAGAAGCCATCAACGCCGACGGTGAGGTTAGCGCGCTCTCGAAGAAGATGTCTTGCATTCAGGTAGGTGGTTTTTGTATTGAAGACATCCGAGTACAAGTTGATGCCACCTGATGGCTTTTCTTCGGGAAATTGAAAACACTCATAGGATTGTGCGTTGACTGATTTTATGATGAGCAGATTTAGCAGCAGAAAGAGTTGTAGAGCAACCTGAAAAAACAGTTTTGCCATCATTTCAAAGGCAAAAATGGCAAGTGCCTGGTAATTCAACACTTTGTGGTGATACCAATACTGCTGCACTCGATGGTCACACTTTTAATGATTTGTCACCTACAACAACGGCAGTAACGATAACAGAAAATAGTCGTTTTTCAATAAACATTCACCAGCTTTTATTACTGTCAATTTGATATTCCATACTGATGTTAAAAATAGAATTACTTGCACAGCTTTTTAAATTCAACAATAAGAATCAGTTGTTTGATTGTTTGTTTGAGTGGCAGGGGCCACAACCTCTACAAACGCTTTCTCTGTTTTTGTCTGCCCATTTGTCCTCTTTTTTAAAAATTATTACAAGAGAAACAAACACCGAGCCACCCAATGTATCAGATTACCTCGCTCACATTTTGCAGCTTTCGAAAACAGCAATGCATAAACATCCTAAATCCATTAAATTTCATCAGCTCCAAGCAAACACACTGGACACATTTAGTGAAAGTCACTTTTGCTCACTGCTTCACTGCACAAATCTAAACATTCGTTGATTGACGTGCTTTTGCAGTTTTAAAACAGTAAAATAAAAGTTTATTACTCATTTGATAATTTAAAATAATTAGTCGCTCATTTCTTAAGAGGACAAATGACGTCCACTGGGCAGGTTGCACTGCCGTAGAACTGCATAAACTCGTTAAGATCACAAAAAGAGCTGCTGCATCCGGCAATCTTCACCGGCATCTCATTGTACAGCGTCAACAGCTTCAGCTGACCGCTCTTGTCACCACCGCATTGGTGCAGCACTGCGGCAAAGTTGGCGCCAAAGGGCAAGACAGTGGAGGAACGAAACTGTCGATCGCCGGCCACACAAAGCCGTCCTGGGTTGCTCGGGTCCAGGTGGTGGCTGGGCGCCCGACTGAAGAGGCCCAGGTGTTGCACCAGTCGACTGATCATGCCCTTGTGGCTGAAGTACAGCGTCGACCCTGGCGTCACCGGTCCTCTTCCTCCCTTCAGACGGGCGGTTGCAGCGTCCAACTGGGCGGTCAGGTCCTTCATAATGGTGCAGGCAATGCCATTGTCTGCGTTTGTCGAGCTTCGGTACTCGTAGGTGTCACTCATGTAGCTGAGTGCCTTCAGTTCGTTGGTGGTGAAGAGGGCGCACCAGGGAGAGTGCTGCAGAACGGCCATCTCATTGGCGCAGGCCTGGTACACTGTGGTCATTGTGTCAAAGGCGGTGCTGTTGGCCGACTTTTTGCCACTTTGAGAGGGTGGAAACTGAAGACCATTCCTTTGGTACCACTGTCTGACCATGATCTGAATAGGCGCACTCTGCGACAGCTCAGTGTACTCCTTTCGCTCTCTGGCCTTGCGTTCCGGTGTTCGGTGCTTTTTGCATCGCTCATGAGACATTATCGTGTTGTCCTTTGTCGGCATGGCAAACTTTTCTTTGACTAGTTCTATAAAAAAAGTAAACTTTAAATATTATTTTTTAAAAACATTTGTAAAATCACTTACTTTCGACAGCTTCATTTGCCTCTTCGAACGGTAGCTTCTCTCGCATCTGCAGCTCACTGATGGCCCGAATAAAAGCTTGCGCCGTTTCTTTGCTGCGAATCTTCGAAGTGACACCGACTTCGATGTTTGACTTTTCAATGTTCAGCAGGTTGGGAAAGTGCTGGTAGAAGTGACGAGCCTGGAGAGCGGTGTCCAACTGTCCGGACAGTGTCACACGGGCGCTCTCTGAAGGGCTGATAAAGAGCCGCCAGCGTTGCAAGTCAGCTTGCACATTTCTGCTTAGACGGCCACCTCTCAGCAATTCCTGTCGAACACCAGGCAGAACTTCGGTAAACTTGACCACCTCCTTCTTCATTGGATAGCGGATGGAGTGTCTACCGATGTAGAAAAGGTAAATTGGCTTACAAGTGCCTTCGACGCCAACGGTGATGTTGGCGCGCTCTTGAAGAAATTGCCATGCATTCAAGTAGGTGGTTTTTGTGTTAAAAACATCCGAGTACAAGTTGATGCTACCTGATGGCTTCTGTTCGGGAAACTGAAAGCACTCATAAGACTGAGCGGTGACTAATTGCAAACAGAGCAGATTTAGTAGCAAAAATAGTTGGAGAGCAATTTGAAAAAGTAGTTTTGCCGTCATTTCAAACGTTCTCTTTCAGTACTGCACCTCTGCAGATGTGGTCGATTTGCTGTGGGTATATATGGCAAAGTTGTAGTGCACTGTCAGTTACATCACATCTACCTGACAGTGATCGGAGAGCTGCAGGTGTTGTGCCTTCAGTGAGGCATGACCATCGGGGAGAGAATTGCCGTTGAAATGGAAAGCTACTACGTGCTCGAAGGCTCAGTGGAAGGCAGAAATGGCAAGTGCCTGGTAGTGCAACACTTAGTGGTGATATCAATGCTGCTGTACTACTCGATGGTCACTCTTTCAATGATACGTCACCTACAACAACGGCAATAACAATAACAGAAAATAGACTTTTTTCAATGGACATTCATCATTTATCAGCTTTTATCACTGTCAATTTGATATTCTATTTTACTGAAGTTAAAAATAGATTTCCTTGCACAGCCTTTTGAATTTAACAATAAGAATCAATTGATTCAATTGTTGATCATTATTCTCATTTAAGTAAGGTAACAGTTATGCAATCGTTAGATAATGGTTCTGATATCAGCCAAGTCAAGTATTAGTCGTCGTATTTAAATAGCTTCACCATTTGCTCCATTGTCTTGCCCTTCGTTTCAGGCAGGAAGTAGATGAAAATGGCACTGCACAGACTCATGCTGGCAAAAAACCAGTAGGTGCCATAGTCAAAGATCAGTTCTCTCACGCTTCCGGTGTAATTGACTACGAGAAAAGTAAAAATCCATGCAAACGCTGAAGACGTTGAGCTGATCAGGCCAATCGTTTGCGGTGGTGTGATTTCTGAATTAAAAAGTACAAATTAGTTAAAAACATTGACAAAACAGCAAAAATCTCACCTGTGATGATGACCCATGAAAGTGGTCCGCATCCGATTGAAAAAGCTATAAAATGGAAACAAGATTAGAACGGTTTGAAGGTAGTCAACATTACATGAGACCTTACACGAGACAAAAATTGTGATCAAAACAATGGGAAGAATTGAGGCAGCACTGAAAGAGTCAGTCGATGGCGCTACAGTGGTGGTTAGCGCAGAAATTGTTGCATTTGCCACTTCACTGCTGTCATTTCGATGTATAAACTGAAAGACGCCCAATGCGGCGATACTTGACATCAGCCCAAAAGCTGAAAGAATAAATGCAATTAGATTTTGAAATAGTATCATAGAATCTTCTAAACCTACCTGAAACAGCATAGATTAGCCTTCTTCCTGCTCGATCAATGACCGCACCACCGAGCACTGTAGCCAAACACATAAAAATGTTGGCAATTAGTGTGCTCACTTTCGGAGATAGAGTTGTGCTAGACTTTTTAAAGATCTCATTGAGGTAAAACTGGACGGCGTTAATGCCGCAGAACTGCTGGAAAAAGAGCAACATCATTCCGATAAGCAGAGGCTTGTAAACATCACGCCGAGTTAGTGTTTTAGGTGAAAGTCGTAGTTTGCTAAAGTTGAGACAAAAAAGAGATTATACATTGTAAACAAAAACAAACTCTTGTTACCTGTTTTTAGAAGTGGCAAGTCGGTTAGCGCCTTCAATCAGCTCATTAAGCTCTGCTTTCACGTCTGAATCGGCAGTACGGAGTCGTTTTAGAGAAGACATTGCCTGTTCAATTCCCTCTGAAGTGTCGCGAATCTTGTTCACGCACCACGTTGGGGATTCAGGCATGAAGATCATTGTGATAGAGAGCAGACCAGCTGGCAGCAGACACCAGAGCGACAGTTTGTTCCAGGTAACGTCGAACATGTACACAAAGTCTATTTAGTTGGGTAAGTTGACTTTTTAGAGATTGTGAAATTGGTGAACGACAAACAAACATTGTCTGGTAAACATTGATTCATAGTACCTACGTAAACCATGCCAAAAACGACAAAAAACTGTTGTCAGAAAAAAGTGTAAATTGGCTAATAAAAGATTAAACTAAAGTATTTCTTACATTGAAGGACATTCCCAGCATGCCTCGAATGTTGGGCGTTGAAATTTCGGCAATATAAGTGGGCAGCACTGCGGTAGTGATGCCTATGGCAATACCAGTCAGTGCTCTGCCAATGAGAATAGGCCAAAACGAGTTTGTGAGACCCATTAACAGCCAGCCAATAGCATAGGGAATGCCAAGGCCGATTAGAGTTTTCTTACGTCCTAGAAAATCCATGCAAATGCCTTCAAGAGTTTACATTAGTTTTGATGCAAAAAGTGACCCGGGTAACAACACTCACCCACAAACATGGCGCCAATGAGGGCTCCAATGGTGAGGACAGAGGCAATCCAGTTGTCTTCCCCCTCTTTAGGTTTAAAGGGGGAATCTTTCCACTCGTGCATGTTTTCGAGCGCCGGAGCGGACCACCCAAAGGTGCAGCCCATTGAAATGGAGCTCATGTGTGCGCAGAGAACAGCCAGGTAGACGAAAGCATTGGAACGGTAGCTGGCTGAAGAGGACCTCAAATGAACGGGACCACCGCCATCAGCCGTCTCGGCATTGCTCACTCTCGCATCGTAGTTCATCTTCTCCTGAAGACTGTCCAGTGAGCTGGTGCTGCTGAAGGAGTCCTGGTCGGAGTCTCGGTGCTCTGCCGAAGTATACTTTAGTTGATATGAAGTGTTTGATGCCATTTTTGCTTCTTTATTGTTGAGAAAAAACTGGTACTATTATTAGATGATGATGAAAAAGACGATGAAGAAGAAGAAGAAAATAGAATATGAGAATAACAAGAAGTTGTTGTGCCGAATGATGAATTGCTGCTGTCAGTTCTGTTGCTGATGCGTGAAGAGATGAAATGAGCGATAGAAAGGAGAGAACGAAATTATGCAGTGAAGACGGCGGCGTTGTAAGTAAAGGCAGTCAAGTGATGCGGTGTGAGCAGAAGGATGGAAAGTGACAATTTTGTCACCTGCAAAATTGGTAACATATTTTTAGATTATCTCCCGCAGACATCTACTGTAGGTACTTTAGATCAATATTTATTAAACGGTGCACATTGCAGTTCATTGCGGTGAGACGATCGCTCAAACGATCGCACTGATGAGACAGTGAAGACCAATTTGTACTAATTACTGGTTAACACTTACAAATGTTTCAAACACTTGATGCGAGTAATAAAGCGTCAATAAGATACTTGGTGAGCAGAGCAACTTTCTGAACTACCGCTTTTAATTAATTGCAATAAAGTATGCGCTCAACTAACTTCTGCTAATTAAATAATGCAAACAGCAACAGCTTACCTGGTTAGCATCTGGTTGTCTTCTCGTTCCAATTAGCACCTTAGCCTGCTGTCCAAATATCACACAAATCGACAAAGCTCAGCCGCCTTAATTGGTGTCAGTCAGTCAGCAGGTCTGCCGAGCAGTTGATCAAAAAAATTGATGGTCACCCAATTAGCCAAACTCCACGCTTGTGTCACACTTATCCTCGGCGTTGTACAGTCGGTTTGCCTTGGCGGACACTATCAGCATCATCCCTAGTCATGCATCTATTAAGAAGTTGGCATCTATCGGTTGCCACAAATGATGCGATTTAAAAATCAACGTGCTCACAGCGGCACACTTGACACACACACTCATATAAAGGCAGTCTGGCTAGCAGACACATGTGCGTAATCACTTACTTACACTTTGATCCGGCAAATCGATTGACTTCTTGGCGAGATGTCTCCAATGGATTTGAGCTGCTGCTGTTACTCTCTGCCCTTCAATTGAACCAATTGCGAGATAAAGTTAAATGTGGAGGAGGCACCAGAAGAAGATGACTGGATATGCTCAGCCACAGTCATACAGTGGGGCCACTTGAGAGGAGCTGTCCCGGTGAGATTGATTGTACCGATCACACTAGTTTAAACAATGTTCATGTATGAAAACGGAGCCTAATGTCACTACTGGTGATATCGAAAGTAGTTAGTGAAGTAAAAATGGTTTCGATTTCACTAAATGCTTCTGCTCAAATGAAAGACGATATCACTTATTTCCAAGGTATGACCTGTCACCAATCACTGACTACTCTATTCGTTGGGTTTTAGATGAGAAAGTACAAAAACTAATCATACTTTTGCCGTTATTATTATTATCCTTGAACTTGCGTAGTGAGGTTTGTCGTATTAGTATTTGTTTGTGGCAAGTTGCCACTGGCAACTCCCATTTGAATAGATATCAGTAATCAATGTATCAGAGTTATTTGACCTCAACTTTGAGATAGTCTAGAGATTATGGTGTTGATTATTTGGTAGACTATTCTTCAAATATTTAGTAAACAAACTGCAACATGGATCAATATTTAATTTTTGCAAAACAACCGCAGTTAGTCCAAAAGTACAACAAAATAAAATTTTTTATTTGAACTTTAACATTGTGACAAGGGATTCATGTGAACCTTCATCGCGTTTTGTGGGAAAAAGAAACTCCGCTACTAAAGTAGCATAGATAAGAAAGTTGCTGATAAGAAACGGCGGCAATATTTGCCAAGCTTCAATTAAGGGGGATGATCGCTATTCAGCTTAGTGTTGTTTCTTTTTAGAACTTATGATCGTTAAGGTTTTGTAAAGAGGAAAAGAGAGATCACCAGCATGGTTTTTAAAGACCTTATCCCCATGTTATTAAGAAAGCAAACTGTTTTTCTTCTGACACTCGTATTTTGTGTTCACCTTCCTTTCTGGCAGCGTCAAACCCGAAAGGAAGGTGTCACACACAGCAGCAGCCACAACGACAGCCTCCATCAGGGCAGATACATGGCGGACAGATGATGCAGCGAATGCATTCACAAACCATACACTCAAAAATGCAGCACAGTAGGCCGAGAATGATCGAGGCGACAATGGCTGCGCCAATGATGATCACCAGTATGACCCACAGCTCCATGAACGAATTGTCAAGGTGAAAAAGCGCCTACACGGAAGAGTCTAGTTAGCCATTCAAACAAGTGGAAACCTGCAAGTGGAGAAAACTGTCATAGCTGAAATAACAACTTTTTATGACTACTCACAAAGAACGGTAATGTTAAGTAGAGAGACTGGTTAGCCACTAATGACCATAACTTGAGAAATTAGGCGAGAAATGGGTTTGCAATTATTACTGCCACCAGTGCCTCTAGTGCGCAGTTTGTTGGCAGGTCTTGGGGAGGACAACTGCTGGCACTGAGAAGAGTTATGGTCGCACATTTTTGCAGCATTACGATGCACACCAATTGCACACCCCGCAGACTGAGCACCCATTTGCATCTGCACACACTGCCTAAAAGAAAGAGAAAGACTGATTTTGAAGAGGCCGATTATGCGCCACCACCACCACCGGTTGTCCTGGCGATGATGCATCGACAAAAAAAGTCAAGTAAGCTAAACGCAACAACCAAAGAATGAGCCACATGTACAGCAAGCTAACGCCTTCCAATGTCAGAGAATGACTGTGTCACAAAGCTGGAAAAAATAGAAGTGGAAAGGAGGATAAGCAGTTACCAGAGGACGGCAGAGGATCTACAGTACAGCTGTACAGCTGTGCAGTGATCGATAGAGTCATTTGGAGACTGCCTCTTTCTTTTGTTTTCTCTTATTTTTTAAAGTAATCATGAGTGTGTGGCTTAGTTGTATTGAGAAGAAGAAAACTGTAGAAAATTTAGCTGATTATGAAATGATTTGTGTGGTCATTCCTGAATCAGTACCGATGAGAACTGCTTATTTAAAACATTTATTGATTTCCGCTTGTTTAGTTTTGTGTAGCCAGTAAATATTGATTGATAGGTGACTGTCGCCACCATTAACTACAAGCCATTAGGCTGCTACTCAAACAAGCGCCTATCACCAGTGGTTTATTATTTCATTTTCCAGGTAACTTGGTCATGACAAGTAATCACCATTGTTAGACGCCTCAAAGTGCCTGTCATCTCACTACGGAGAAAACTTGGCTATAAAGATAAAGAAAAAGAGACAGGCAAATCATTGAGCAACAGTAGCCGCTTCGAAAATTACATTTTGACATACTATTCGGTCATATGCGGTTTGTATCTTCTTTTCTAATGAAAAAGAGTACAACTACCAATATGGAGTGCCACTTTCGATCGTTGAAAAAGTTTTCAATTTTCAAATTTTTGTTTTTCAAAGATTCATTTCGTTTTTTTACTTTACTCAGCAAAAGGTAGTGGTGGCTTATTACTACTTTATATTATGCACTGTGACTAATTAGCAAAAGTGAACTCAGCAGAAAGTGGAAAGAGAGTTGCAAACATGCATGCAGAAGAGATCATTGAGACAGGGAGAGAGCAATTCATTATGAGCAAATTCACGGCCAGACAGACAGCAGAGCAAGATCGACTTGTCATCTATTGGCAATCTAGTAGTAGTAATGCTGCAACATTATATTCTCATTCTCTCCTCAACAACTGCATAATCGGCCGACCCAGCCTTGTGTTTTGTTTGCCTGGTGGCCTCCTCTCTCAGTCATTGTGTTATTCGATTATACAAACACTATCAGCAGTTGCACCAGTTGTCACTTTGCTTTTAAACAGAAACTCTGTTGTCTATCGTCTTTGGTGATGATCTCCACTGGCCCTAATGGAGGTGGCAGCAAGACGGCGTCCAGCTTCTTCATGGCAAACATTTGGAGCGGCAGTGCGCGCAACATTGCCGCCGCTGCAGCCGCCGGTATGTCCTCAGTTTCCTCCTCTTCCTCGCGAGCCTTCCAACACTCCAGACTAAAGTCAGGCAGTGAAGAGAGCCTGAACAGTGTTCTGCTGCAGGATGAACAGAAGAACAGCTTAGAACGAGGTGGCAAAGTGCTGAAGGTGAAGAGAAGTGAAAAGCAAATTCGAAAACGCTGTCTGTCGCAGAATGACACGGTAAGTGAACAGGAGTATGTCGTCTCTCCGGAACATCTGAAGAACAACACCTGCTGTTTGCGTGAACATGAAGGCGGCGATATTGTGGAAGATGGTGAGGACGAAGATGGTGACGGTGAGGATGGTTCAATCACTGAAACTTCAAAATCGAAGTGCGTTGCACCAGTGAAAGTCAGTAAACGCCTCGGTGACTTGAAAAAAAGCGAAAGATCAAAGCAGAAAGAGTTGCTTGCGTCCATTCTCGACGACACTGATGACCTCGACCAGCTAGAGTACTTTGATGACAATGAAATATACCCCTCCAGTTCGCCTGCTTCCTTGTTTTCTTCTACATCTTCGTCCACCTCCTCTTCTTCTCCCTCTTCTCCTTCAGCCATTGAACTGGGCGGAGTTCAACAAGCGAACAAAAGCTCAGCAGGTAAACAAACCTCGCCCAAAAACAGCGAAAACGTCGCTTTTGAGCTGCTTCGCGTGCTCTCTATCAAAAGCACCAACATGTGGTGGA